GTGTAAATGGTGCGTTTACACCCCTTCCGAAAAGAAGTTTCACTTCAAAAGAAGAGTTTAAAAGATTACACTGATATTTGGCATTCATATAGCTACTATGACATAAGCATCCGCTCAGAAGATTCACCCCGTGAGGAATTAAATGGGGATCCAAAGTTTTGTATGGAGGAACAAAACAGGAGACTTTTATATCATCATCATCAGCCTATTAATGTCCCCACTGCTGGGGCACAGGCCTTCCCTATGGATGGAATAGGGAGATTGGGCCATGACCCACCACGCGGGCCCAGTGCGGGTTGGTGGGTGCTAACGACTGCTGATGCAGCCGGGACCATCGGCTTAACGTGCCTTCCGAAGCACGGAGGAGCTCGAGATAGTAAATTTTCACCCATCCAATGACCGACCACTGTGAAAGTTGCTTTAATTCAACGATCTCAGCGGAACGCGCTAAGCACTTGCGCCATCGAGCTCCTCCAAACCAAGTGACCAAGAGACTTTTATATGCGAAACTGCAAAGAACTGTTTTCTAGCCTTTGCTCGCTACTTCGCTCGCGTTAAATTTCACCCTCGCGATTTTAGTGCTCCATACTAACTTTGAACCCCTGTTTTATTCTTTGGGGGTGAGTTTTGGAAAATCCTTTCTTGGCGCACGTGTTTAATTAATAATAGAAATAAGAATTTTAGTTCACAATTTTCCGATAGATGTCGTTAGTACCCAAGTTACCTCACGCTATCGGTGTGCTTTGGTCATTTGTATAAGATGTTTATATTTTTTGATACTCCCGAGTGTTCTTCTACAGTAAATGAGTGTGAGTGTTTAATTGACCAGCACGCCTAAATCATAATAGCTATATGTGTTCCAAATTTCAGAGTAATTCGTTTAGTGGTTTGAGCTGTGCGTTAATATATCAATCGGTCAGTAACGATTGGCAAATGACTTTACCCCACCTGATGCTAAGTGGTGATAAAGTCCAAACGCGAAGATAGCTGGTACAGCAGTTGTAAACTGCCACACCAACCATCCTCACCTTGCTGGCCTGCAAAAATGCTTCTTGACGCCTCACTTAAAGGACCCTAGATTGTAGGAAGGCGGGAACACGTGCGCGGGCAAAGAATTCCACTTACGAATAGTACGACAGAGAAATGAGTCACCAAATTTCTTTGTTCGTGTAGGAGTAGTGGCCATAGTAAATCGATGGCGGTAGTAGGCCAGCGCGCGTGGTTCTCTGAAGAAAAGATGATGAACTCCTCAGAACACTCGCCTTGGTATAGTCGGTAGAATGTGCTTAATGATGCCACGTCGCTGCGTAATGGTTTTTCTTTAATAGGGATGATGACTAATTTTTGAAGTTATACTTCTTTAGGCGCGTGATGAAAAAATGATGAGAGTGAAATTTTAAGATGCGCGCGCATCACTGTAACACAAAAATTACTTTTGTGTTTACCGCACATTAAGAAAATCTAACAACAAAATAGAAATAGAATCTCTATTTAGTGGGTGCTAACGACTGCATTGTGAAGGCCTATCAAAAGTATTTATTAATCTGGAACAACGGAACCAAAGCGCGATTCAGGAGACTACAGCGCCATCTCTTGCCCATTGGTACAGTAGAACCAAAAACCACATCTTTATTTTTTGTAATAAAGTTACAGTTATAGGTATTCATATTTATAATATCAAAAGTATTTATTAATCTGGAACAACGGAACCAAAGCGCGATTCAGGAGACTACAGCGCCATCTCTTGACCATTGGTGTAGTAGAACCAAAAACCACATCTTTATTTTTTGTAATAAAGTAACAGTTATAGGTATTCATATTTATAATATTTATCCACATGTTTCTAGTTTGTATATTCGGAATACGTGTTTGAGTTTCATACAAGTGCAAATCACATATGTTCTAATAAATTATATTCAGTACCGATTTTAATTGAATATTTTGATTATTTATTTATTTTTTCAAATTAAAACTGAACTTTATTGACTGTGTCCTTTTCCAGACTTTTTATTAATTTATTGTAATTAATTATTTGCATGCAATTAAAAACTAATTTTAAACGATGCCAAAGAAGGATAACTTCTCACGCGCCTACATAAGTACACGCACCCATTTTTTTTTCTTCGTTTATCAGGTAGATTATCAAAAAGTATTGGACACGTATTTTTTCTTTTTTTTACATCATATAAACATTGCAGAGATATATTGTTTTGCAAAGTCGCATGACGTCACGTTTTGGTACAATTTTCACTTAAAAGTGACGAGCCCCTACTCCCAAACTTAGACGCACTATAACTTTCTCATTTTTTGGTTGATTGCCCAATGAAGAAATACGCGTCCATTATTTTTTGATCATCTAACTGACGGACTAAATAGAATTTCGTTTACTGTACGCCGTCATCACCATTATTGTTTGTTTTTTTATTTATACAAAGAAAATAATGTAAAGTAAGTAAGTTACCCCGAATTTATTTTATCCGGAGCCTTCGTCTAACCAAATGTGCATGCATTTGATTGCAATTTGGAATAATAGTATACCAAGAAAAGAATTAGCATGATTATCTGTTGCGTTGCCCATCTCTGTTTAATGTATGCAACTTGCGCCCACGCACGCGGCAATCTATACTTTACACATAGATCTTGAGTCTAAACTTAGTGTTATTTATCTTGCAGGCATATTTAGTGGTGGGGTTCGTAGACTGGAATATATCAATAATCTGCCTACGAGTTCGTTTCTGTTAACTTAATTTTGCGTAACTTTTAAAAACTTTACATTAAGACGCAACTGTCCAATGTGGTAGCTTATATTAAATGCTTTCTCCTTTTGTCCCATAGATGGAGCTGTATTAATTTGTACTCACGGTATGGTTTAGTTCAATTGAAATATATAAGGTTTCTGCATCCGTGGCTTGGGGGATCTTAGTACAAATAAATGATCTTGTAACTGATATTAAGTGAAATCGGAGCCCAGTTGCGCTGGTAAATGATGCGGCAGAAAAATGTGCCGCCTATCTGGCTGCGTCCAGTCGTTATTTACCTTACTTACCAACAGAATTACATCATCATCAGCATCAGCCTAGTAATGTTCCCACTGCCGGGGCACAGGCCTTCCCTATGGATGGAATAGAGAGATTGGGCCATCACCCACCACGCGAGCCCAGTGCGGATGGATGGGCAGGTTCGAACGACTGCAGATGCAGCCGGGACCAACGGCTTAACGTGCCTTCTGAAGCACGGAGGAACTCGAGATAGAAGATTTTTGGTCACCCATCCAATGACCGACCACTGCGAAAGTTGCTTGACTTCAACGATCGCAGCCGAACGCGCTAACCACCCGCGCCCTCGAGCTCCTCACAGAATCACATTGCTACCACAGTAGTAGCATTTTAATGTAAAACTGTACTAATTATTCCACTAGGCAGACGCTCCAATTCAATATGAAAATATTCTTTGCCCTATCTCTCTTAAATGTTAATGATGTTCTAACTTAGCATTACAAGTTATTCAGGATTACAAATTTACTGGAATAAAGGATTACGATTATTAATTAAGTATTAACGTAAAAAGGCTTTTACTGATTGAAAATTGAAAAGCAAAAACTGTGGAACATAAAACTTTTTAAATATTTATGTATATGAACTGCAATTTCTGGTTTAAGCGAATGGAACTCAAACGATTTATGATTTTATTTAAATATACATTATAATTATTGCGTGTAGCTTACAGGTATAGGTACGTAACAGGTATAAATAAACAAAATAATAAATAAATAAATATTTCCAACACTCACACCAATTAACCTAGCCCCAACGTAAGCACTGTAAGGCTTGTGTTATGGGATACTAGGGTAACGGATAGAATTCATTATACTGTACATATATAAGTATATTTATATAGAAATACATATTAAACATCCACGACTGGAGTACAAATGCTCGTATTCATCACACAAACATCTGCCCCCACCGGGATTCGAACCTGGGACCTCTGGAGTCGGCGACACCATGAAACCCGGCGTACAAACCACTCGGCCACGGAGGTCGTCGTATAGTTATATGATTCCATAATTTTATTGTTTCTCGTACAAATAAAATAAAACACGTAAAAAGCCTTTTCTTTTTGTTCAGGCAGGCCTCGCAATTTAGAAAGAAATATACTTATCCACAATTTAAATGTTTTAAGTATTAGATCTAAGCTTTTAGAATTTGCAATAAATAGAAAAAAATGAAATAATTTAAAAAAAACTTGAAATAAGTCACTTTGCATCCTCAAGTCGTCGTCAAGAAAAATACCTGGGCGCAGTTCATTTCTAGTAAAATCATTCTTTGAAAGTAAAAATAAATGATAAATACACAAAGTTAATTGCGACACTAAAAGTTGCAACATAATTAGTTGATAGTGGACTGTAGAAATCGACGATAGGTGTTTATGGTACGGTTTCGAGTATTGTGTAGAGTTCCGCGTTAAAAGCCCGCCGTCTGGAGTAGTGAGTGTTCTCACTGAGACACTGGGGAGATGCAAAGTTTTTGTTAATTTTTTAACTTGCCGTTTTTTTGACGGATTTGTCGGTTTTAATTTCACTTTGGGTATAAATAAACGTAACGGTCTTTCTCATATCAAGATTTATTGCCGTATCGTAAATTTACCTTATTGTATTTACCATAATTATTTAGGTATAATTGTACAGAGCTTAAATATTAAACATATTCAGATGTAAAGATTTGGCTTAAGTTTGCAAAGAATTTTATTACAAACAAAATGTTGTAGGAAACATAAGAATTGGTTTATACTCTTTCTGTATAAGTACTTATTACAATATAAGAATAAATTCTAATGCAAACTAGATCGAAGACTTGTTTACGACCGACTACAACTATATAAATGCTGGTGCTACCTGTTACAAAACAAAAGAAAACAATACACTACCTGTTGCGAGTGCACGTTATCTATTCGCGTGATAAATAAGTAACAAACTTTCACCAACTACAAAGTCGCTCAATATGTGCGAGCAAAAGCTGTGCGGCAAAGCTCCGCACCCCGCTTGCCGGCCGGCGAGCGGTGAGCGGCGAGCGGCAAGCGAGCGAGCGGCAGTCAGCCGGCGGCCTCCGACCGGCGCGCACGTGTGTTCCGCGAGTGCAGTGATTAGTGCGATGCCCGCCCGCGCGCTGGCCCTCCTCGCCGCCGCGGCCCTGGCGCTCGCGGCCTCCCCGCCCGACCCCTGCTACGAGGACGGCCACCCTCGCCGCTGCATCCCCGACTTCGTCAACGCCGCCTTCGGGGCCCCTGTCGTTGCTTCTTCCGTTTGCGGCCGCCGGAGCCCCGAGCGTCTTTGCGACCCACCTGGCGACCAGCCTCCCGATACCGCCTGCCATGTGTGCGATACCGCCAGACCCGACCGTCGCCAACCACCGCAACACCTCACCGATCTAAACAACCCCAACGACGTCACATGTTGGCGCTCCTCCGCTCTCCCGACCGCTTCCTACGATTCACCACCCGACAACGTATCCCTGACCCTCTCCTTGGGCAAGAAGTACGAGCTGACCTACGTCAGTCTCCAGTTCTGCCCGAAGGCGGCTCGGCCCGATTCCGTCGCGATATACAAGAGTGCAGATTACGGCGTCACTTGGCAACCTTTCCAGTTCTACTCCAGCCAGTGTCGAAGAGTTTATGGAAGACCAAACAAAGCCACGGTGACGGCGGCTAACGAGCAGGAGGCCAGATGCTCGGATTCGCATCGCCTGGCTGGAGAGAACGCAGCTGGTTCTCGATTGGCGTTCAGCACCCTGGAAGGTCGTCCGAGTGCCGCGAACTTTGACGTGTCGCCAGTGTTGCAAGATTGGGTGACGGCTACTGATGTGAGGGTGGTGTTCAATCGGTTGCATATGGTGAACGAGGGAGATGAGATCGATCCGAAGAAACAGGCGGCCCCGGGTACGCAGCACTACGCTGTTTCGGACTTCGCAGTGGGCGGTAGATGCAAGTGCAACGGGCACGCTTCTCGGTGCGTGATGCAGCAGGAGGGTGCTACGCAACAGCTGGTCTGCGACTGCAAGCATAACACCGCTGGCCGCGACTGCGAGCGCTGCAAGCCATTCCATTTCGACAGACCCTGGGGACGCGCCACCGTCAGAGACGCCAACGAATGCAAAGGTCAGTTTTTAGTGTTGTTGTGTGTCGTTTGTTTTTGTTACGTTTTTGACCGTCGTGGCCGGATATACCCATTACATAGGACTTTGATCCTTATTTTTCAGATACTACGTTAATCTTTGATTAAAGCAAGCCTACTATTTGATTGCATTGCAATAATAGACCGCTCGCTAGTTAAATCTGACTTTAGTTAAATTACTAGAAAAAAACCCATTTTGCCAAAATTTTACACATTTACTATATATTTGACGGGACATTAACTATAGTCAAATAGAAGTATGGATAACCCAATGCGCCCTTAGCAGGTTTAAAGAAAAATACGACCGTGAATAAACTGTTAAGAAAAATTAATTAATAATCCTTAAAAAATCAAACAAACAATAAAAACTCTTATCAAACATATCACGCATTCGGCAATTCATAAGTCATTAAAAAATGTTAAGCATGAGATATGAGAAGCGACCACGAAACCAGTTTCAGACGGTCTCCACATTCTTACACAAATTACGAAACTGTGGAGAGATCCATAGATCTTGAGCATCTGATGCACGCGTGTCATAAAGCGATTAAACTATCAGATGTTTATGAAAATATACGAGCGAATTAACATTTATAATGCGTCGCTACTTTTAAAAATAAAACCTATAGAAATAAACCCTTGAGCGAAACAAGATTCATTACTGTACCCAATAATCAAAAGTGTATTTTTAACCGTAAACTTTAAAAGGAATGGTATTAAAAACGCATTACAATAGCATTAAATTATAACTTTAATAAAGTTTTGTTTGCTTCGATATCATTATTTAAATTGAGCTCATAATAATAGAAATCTACAATAATGTTTGAAATTGAAGAATAGCCTTTAAGGAACATTGATGTAGTATGAATGAAACACAAAGTATCGCAGGGTCGTAAAAGTTAATTACGTGATGGGTTCATGGACCATAAATCAATTGAGTTAAATAGCGGACTACTAAGCCTGTAATGGTTATAGCCTGTCAGAGAGGGTCACATAACCGATAATGTGATAAGGCGAGTTAGAAAGAATTTAGAGTATTCAAGAGTTTAAAATTATTCCACAACATTATTGTAAGTACAATATGAATAATGCATGTGATACGCCTCACAATAATCGATCAATTTATGATTCCTCACTTTAAATTGTTCTGGAATATTGACAAACATTTAACACCAATCGTAAGAATGACCTGTAACATTGAAAGAATTTATTACTAAAAGCATATTTTATGAAATCAAGATTAAACTGACACATCACAAATCTAAACAGAAGCGTGTCAGGGTAACCTAATTAAGCCAAAATGGCTAGTATAAGGTCTTAAATGAGACATCACCATAATAAGAGATGCCGCGGTCCTTGAAATTCCCTAACAAGAATAGTTTGTAACCGTCAGGTAATATAGTGTTGTACCACAAATCATAGCTCGTGCGTAGGCGCAACTATCGCGGGCGTTTGTTAGCCCTTATTGTGGTGCATCCACAGATAAAAGTGGAGGGTCAGACCTTTAACGGCGGCGATAAGATTTAATTCCCGGAATATTTGGAAGTGAACCCTTTTTTTTATTCATTTTATAGGCTTGTCGATTTATAATTTAGACATCAATGTCTCAATTGTTAAATGTTGTAGTATGGCATTACTTTCCTCACATACTCGCTAATGTACTAACTATATCTTTATTAATAATTATCAATTTTCCACTTGTTGGGCGGTGAAAAGAATCCACAAACTTTGTAGCGTATGTAAATTGTTTGAGTAATTCTAGCTTTTTTAAAAGTATTCATGACCAATTTATCAAGTCTTATGGCGTTGCACTTTTGATGCTCCTTCACCGATGATACGCCGTGAAATATTGTTTTAAATGTATCTGACGACGAAATAAACTAATATCAAATTTCTAAATAAAATAGTGCGGCATTACTTCTTATACAACTACTCAGTTACTATTAAATTCGACTATAGACTCATTCTATTCTCTCATTTTCAATTAATCAGCATAATCATCATCAACACATCGACAAAAAAGATTAAAACGATTATTATAACGTGTCGTAACACCTTCTCATTTGCGTTACACAAAAACAAAACACTCGTGCGTACATGCATCATAAGACTTATGTCAAGTTGTCGTTGTTTTTTTACCTGTATCCTATCCAGGTACACATTTAATGAATTCGTTATTAGTATAACTCGACAATGAGAGACGGTACTTTCGACTCGCGGCAATCAGTGTTGGTTGTTTTTTAGCCGCGCTCATGAATGTGGCTCGCCGCGCCGCACGCCGTCGTATTAAAGCGCGGTCCAAGTGATCTCAATACGTCTGTCGGCATCAGCTGTAGGTTACTCCTAATTATTATTTTAACACACACAAGGAAAACAAGAAGGCTTTTTGTTAGAACGAGTGTTTGTTCCCCTAAATATTAAAATGCTGTCTGTGTTTATGTTCGTGTATTCGGAAGTCGTCAAGATAGATGAATGAGAGTTCTATTGTTGGTTTCGTGTACTTCCTGATTATTATTTTGTACTGTTATTATGTTAATAATGCCAAAACATTTAAATAAACAAGTATAAGCCACGTTTAGTTTATTAGAAAGTTCATTTACACTCAAATGTAAGTATAACTGTATTAAGTTCAAAGTTTTAATGTAATCCACTGTTTGTAAATCGGGAAACGCTAATTCTAGCAATACTTTTGATTGATAAAAAATACAAAAAATACAAAATGAGTTTATTTCAGTAACTTAGCCTACTACAATGTATGAGTATGGCCTTTTAAGCAGTAAAATTACTTGTGTTAGGATGCACCGCTCTTCCATAGCTTGGTTACAATAGGCCAATTGACAATCCGCCATTGATGTATTTATAATAATGGATTACAATAATATATAGTTTAAGTATTTTTTTTTCAAAATGATATCAAAACAGTAACATAAACCAACAAAGATTACAAACTCCTTTTTTTTTCTTCTTTTTTTTGAGGATCGATAAATGTCATCTGTGTGTAATAAAAACAATTCACAGGCAATGATAGAGATGAGAACATATTATTAATATACTTTTTTATACGTTTTTTTAACAAGAAATTTACTCAGTCCGACATAGGATTTTTCATTCATTTAGAAACATAGCTACCTATTACTCGGAGAGTAAAAAACAACATGATGTATCTGTTATCGGAAGTTTTATCTGTGCCATCAATATACCTTAACCGTTACCAAGTAATTACATCTTATATGAAATAGATTATTTGCGAGTGGAGAACAATACAGTGAAAATTAATAGTTATTTATAGCATCTGTAATCAGCGTTTTTAGATCTGTGTCTACTATTATTTTTGGATTGCAATTAAAGTGCTAACCAATGTATCATATACGCAATGATTTCACTAACATAATAATTTGATGGTGGTAAACAAAATGAGGAGCTCGATGGCGCAGGTGGTTAGCGCGTTCGGCTACGATCGTTGAAGTTAAGCAACTTTCGCAGTGGTCGTTTATTGGATGGGTGACCAAAAATCCTCTATCTTGAGTTCCTCCGTGCTTTGGAAGGCACGTTAAGCCGTTGGTCCCGGCTGCATCTGCATTCGTTAGCACCCGCCAATCCGCACTGGGCCCGCGTGGTCGGTCATGGCCCAATCTCCCTAATCCATACATAGGGATGGAGGGCAGATGTTTGTGTGATGAATACGAGCATTTGTACTCCAGTCATGGATGTTTAATATGTATTTCTATATAAATGTACTTATATATGTATAGTATATGTATTCTATCCTTTACCCTAGTATCCCATAACACAAGCTTTATAGTGCTTAGCTTGGGGCTAGGCTAATTGGTGTGAGTGTTGGAAATATTTATTTATTATTTTTATTAATGTTAGTGTTGCTGATAAACAATAAACACATAATTGTTGCGGAACCATTCAATCAAATTAATATTCCCATCCATTTTCCAAATAGGTCGTGGGAATGTACAAAGAAATCAGGGCACTTTATGTCCATTACAAAAGGGGAAAAGGGAGCAAAAAAAAGTGTATTATTGCCCCGTTTTGTTGGAGACACCTATCCTGATATATTATTGTCGATTTAAGTCGTAATAGGAAATGTTGCGACCGTTTTACCGTGGTCTACAGGTAAGAATTGTCGTTTTAAGGGTACCGTAGCTAATGGGAAAAAACCGTACTATGGATTCGTCATGTCTGTTGGTCTGTCCGTTCGTGTGTCAGAGACACTTTTTTCCTAAACTATAAGAATAATACTGTTGAACTTGGTAAGTAGATGTGGTATGTGAACTGCATTAAGATTTTCATACAAAAATAAAAATCTAATATATAAAATTCTCGTATCGCGGTGTTTGTGGTTAAACTCCTCCGAAACGGCTTTCCCGATTCTCATGAAATTTTGTGTGCATATTGGGTAGGTCTGAGAATCGGACAACATCTATTTTTCATCCCCCTGAATGTTTTTTTTTTTCAATTTTAGATAAAAAAAAAATCCCTAAATTTTCAACTTTCTACCACCAACCCCTATTTTTTTATGGCGGTACGACGTTCGCTGGGTCAGCTAGTGAAACTATAAATTTTGGGGGTTACCCATACTTAGAACTGAAACTATTTCTTTTTTTATCAAACCCATACATACGTGTGGGGTGTCTTTGCATATGCCTTCTATTCTTCTAAACTGAATAGTTTGAGCGAGAGACACTTTCAAAGTGGTAAATGCCCCCCCCCCCCCTTTGAACTTCTAAAGTAACAGAATGATAAAACTAAAAAAATATATATGATGTACATTACCATGCAAACTTCCACCGAAAATTGGTTTAAACTAGATATAGTATTTAGTTTTTTGGAGTTTACTACTTAAGAATCGATTTGCATATATAAGGGGCCCGGTATGAGAAAAATGTGAGGAGTAAAATCTATCGATGAATGACCTCGTTACGTTTTTGGTGCGCATCCTCTGTCGCGCAACTTTTGGAGTTTACTCCTTAAGAATCGATTTGCATATATAAGGGGCCCGGTATGAGAAAAATATGAGGAGTAAAATCTATCGATGAATGACCTCGTTACGTTTTTGGTGCGCATCCTATGTCGCGCAACTTTGACAAACAAAGATGACGGATTGGATGACATTAATATAAATACACTATTATTAAAACATCGAATCAAAGTTACAACAAACTACAAGTCCTTTTTGAAGTTATACTTCTTTAGCCGCGTTATGAAAAAATTATGAGAGTGAAATTTTAAGATGCGCGCGCATCACTGTAACAGAAAAGTAACATAATGAAGTTAGCCGCGGGCGCGTTATGAAAAAATGATGAGAGTGAAATTTTAAGATGCGCGCGCAACACTGTAACAGAAAAGTAACACCATGAAGTCGGCCGCTAAACCGCACATTACTCGTAAGTCTCGAAAAAAGCTTCCAACAAAATAGTAATAGGATCTCTTAGTCGCACATGTTGGGACGCTCGTCGCCTCTGATCACTGTTTTCATATTTATAATATTTATCCACATGTTTCTAGTTTCTATATTCTTAACACGTGTTATAATGTTATACAAATGCGAAATTTATATGTGCTAATAAATTTTATTCAGTAGTGATTTAAATTGAATATTTTGATTATTTATTAAATTTTTCAAATTAAAACTGAACTTTATTGACTGCGTTGACTATCCTTTTCCAATCCTTTTATTATCTTATTGTAATTAATTATCTGCATGCAATTAAAAACTATTGTTTAATAATTCCAAAAAGAAGTATAACTTCTCACGCGCGTACTTAAGTACACGCACCCATATTTTTTATTATGTTACTTGCTGCTACGGAACCCTGCATGTGCGAAGCCGACTCGGACTTGGCCGCTTTTTAAATTGAACGGTTTACATATTGTTACAATGCATATTATTGAAATGTCATTTTTATTGAATTTGTGGTCGTTTGATGTATGGCTGTACGATTTCATTGTACAATGTTTTTACTTCTACGGGATAGCTTAGAATGATACATGTCTTTGTTGCAATGAAACTGAAAATTTTGCTTCATTACTGCTCTAAAAAGTATAATGGAGACCATAGATAGAGATAGAGAATAGATGGACAGTATTTTAAATTTAGCGATTTGAAGTTTTATGTATATACTAGCGGCCTGCCCTCGCTTCGCTTCGTATAGAGCTGAAGTGTAGACTACAGTTTTTGTTCTCAGGCTTGTATTATACACAATGACATTCATTTATGATTCTTCTTATACCTGCATGTAAAGTCTCAGCCCGATCGGTTTAAAATTGACAAAGTTTCATACAAACTTTCATTTCCTATTTTATCCCCTTGGGGGTAGAATTGATCAAAATCCTCTCTTAGCGGATGCCTACGTCATAACATCTACCTGCATGCCAAATTTCAGCCCGATCCGTCCAGTGGTTTGGGCTGTGCGTTGATAGATCACTTGTCAGTCAGTCACCATTGGGTTTTATATATATAGACTACTAGTTGTGCCCTGCGGGGTTACCCTCGATTTATGAGACATATTTTCCCGCAGTAAAACGTAGCCTATGTGTTAATCCAGGGTGTCAGCTAACTCCATACCAAATTTTATTAAAATCGCTCCAGCCGTTTAGACATGAAGAAGTAAGAAACATACATACTCACAAACTTTCGCCTTTATAAAATTACTTTGATTTGCCTACAATGTATACTAGGTATTACTTTATTGACTAAGATATACGAGTACTAACCAGACAATATTTTCAATATAATAGAATTTTCATGACATTGAATCTATATATATAAAACTCAAAGGTGACTGACTGACATAGTGATCTATCAACGCACAGCCCAAACCACTGGACGGATCGAGCTGAAATTTGGCATGCAGGTAGATGTTATGACGTAGGCATTAGTGGATGCGGAAGAAAGGATTTTGATCAATTCTACCCCCAAGGGGATAAATTAGGGAATGAAAGTTTGTATGAAACTTTGTCAATTTTAAACCGATCGAGCTGAGACTTTGCATGCAGGTATAAGAAGAATCGTTGATGAATGTCATTGTGTATAATACAAGCCTGAGAACAAAAACTGTAGTGTACACTTCAGCTCTATACCGAAGCGAAGCGAGGGCGGGCCGCTAGTGTAATATAAAATCGTATTCACCTCCTACGAATTCTTTAAATTCTTTTAGATTGGCTAACTTCAATAGCTGAAATAGCTCGCAGCGCTTGGAGCAAAAGTTGAAGTGACTTCTATTAAATCTCGGAGTTATAGCTGAGGTCTTTCTTCCTTAGAATTAATGTTGAAATTTTATGGCAAAACTCTATA